CAAAATGACCATAAAATTAATTTTTTATGCATATTTTATTTTATATAGCTTTTTTTTTTACTTATTCAGGTCCAGGTTTCAAATTTTCACCTATATGTTAGAGTGCAAGGCAAAATTTTAATATTAACAAATAAAAAAAGGGGGGCGTTTCATGTCCCAGGTATACAATGTGAACCATAAGCAATTCCTGTAGTTTATGGTAAGTTTTTATCACGGGAGATATTTGACAGTAGGCTAACCCCTGACTTGGTTACTATCAACACAAATATTTTCTACTGAAAAAACTTAATCCACATTATTAAAATAATAAAAGTGTTTGTGTAATAAAAGTACTCTTACCTTATAACATGTGGTAGATTACTAATACACACTGAAGAGTGGACGGACAGGTCCACCTACGAAACTCTGGAGTTAGGATGCTGAAGGTAACATCAGTCAGCTAAGTGATAAACTTTTACTCATATTAATCATATTATATATATATATATATATATATCTTGTCTGAGTGAAAAGAAAGCATCTGCTTATTGAATTTTTTTAATAAATTCAATACATTTGAAATTATGATTTGTGGGGTTGTCTTGTACGGCAAATATAGCCTAAGACTTTGGGGATCGTCTTATACGCCCAGTCACCTTGTACACCAGCATATATGGTAGTTAAACAAAACAAAATTAAGGAGAAAATTAGCTGAAAATTTCCTAGCAAGAATTGGAAATCAAACTTTTTTTTTCCATGACAAATAAAATAAATAGTGTTGTCATGTTTCCATTTGACAATGGCTCCTGGGAGAAATTATAAATAAGTCTTAGAAAAAAAAATAATTGCACATTGAATATCCAAGAAACCTTTAATTAAAATTTTAATGTTAAATTGAGACAATACTAAATAATAATATCCAACATGTACAATACATTGTACAAGAAAAAGGATCAATTTCTGTCATGTACTTAAAGAGATTTTTGTTTATGAGTCTGCTCTGTTTGATATCTACTTCTTTTATGTACCGTTGTCGGAGTTACCTCCTCCTTTCGCTCCTTAAACTAAGAGAACAGGTCATTTCGACCTTGACCTCTCGTTTGTGCTCCCTATACACTGTTAACTTGTGGTAGAGACTAGCAAGTTCCCTTTTTAGTTTACTTATATTACAAAACTAGTTGTAATATACTTCTAGACATTTTTAGGCCATAGTCCCCTTTAGCTAACCTCAACGTATTTTATTATAGAGACTTTACTGTTAGCTTATCCAATTCACTTGCTGGTCTCCCTTACCGCAAGACAGTGGCTTCTCACTAAATTCGGTGGGCGACTGAAACGGTCGGATACTCAGGCCCCTGGCCTTCGTTGGCCATGAACGGCGATCAACGGGCTGTGTATTAAGTTACGCTCCCATTTTTTTTTTGTCTGCCAACTTGACTATAGTTGGAAACTTTCCTTTCTCTTTCTCTCCTTCGCCTACTACTCCTGGCTCCTTGGCCCCGTTCGACTCTCGGCATTCCATCCCTACTGGCTGCCTGCACGTCGTCCTTAACCTTTCCCGTACACTATGTTAGTAATTAATACAGGAGGTTACTAATATCAAACTCAACCGGCAAACACGCAACGCCTGCACTGGACCTGTGACATGCCCGAACAACGCCAGCTCTTCTTTCCTTCCCAACAAGTCAAGTTGGCAACCCGGCAACGACCAACTACAACAACAAGTTGGCAACCCAGCAACGACCAACTACAACAACCAACAACCAACATCAACTGCAACAATCAACTGCGATGATCCTGCCAACAACCAACTGCAACAACCAACAGCGATCATCCCGGCAACAACCCACATCAGCTTCAACCCCAACAACCAGCAGCGATGATCCTGGCAACGACCAACACCAACCTCGACCATCCAATACCTGCACTAGAACTTCTGCACCTCCATCGTTCCGATCTCCTTATTTTCTTTTTCTAGAATAAATTAGCATATATCATATATATCCTCGTTCTGTCGTCTATATTGTTTCACCATCAGATTCAACATCTTCAAAAATGTTAGCGGGCCTCTTGTGACCTCATTCACCCTTACGGTGATACTGGGGCGCTCAGGGGTTCCGCTACAAGTGGTGACCCCGACGTGATCTGACTTGGCTTGACAATATGGCGACACAACACAAATGAGGCATATTCAACGCTTAGCAACCAGCAGACCTGCAACACCATTTTCTACGAACTAACACTCTCTTCTGGACTGAAATAGATAAAGTGTGAACCAAACCACTAAAGGTGACCCACTGTCCTTTATTTTCAAACAACATTGGTGATTCCGACATGGAAGCAACACACAAGTTTCACTGGAATAAACACACAATTCTCTGGACGACTCACTGTTCCATTATGATGCGACTTCACTGAGGATTTGCATGCACGTAATTCTTCGCTACTAACATTGCAAATTCCGCTAAAACGTAAACAAACAAAAACGTAGATCGTATAATGCCGAATTAAGGACTCAAATAAAGTTTTTAGGTTTATTGGTGGATAATGACATTTTGACATTAAAATTTGAATTAAAAGTTCCTTGAATTTACAATGATAACTTTGTTTCTTTTTACTTTTTTTTTTTTTTTTTATAAAACTGGGATTTTGTTCACTTTTGGGATAAAATGAAAAAGAGGCTGGGATTTTGTCCATTGGGTTTTTGTCATAGGTTCGAGGGGATCCACATAGTTCCTCTGAACGACTATAAACAGAGCCGGTTCATTTCATACTATCGCTGAACCCATCGGCCGGAGAGAACATGCCTAATTGAGACCCCCCCACCACCAGCTCGAAAATGTTGATAGAGAAAGTCACAATACCTTGTGACCCTCGCTTATCTTATCAACATTTAATTTTTTTCTACCAACATTTTTTTCGTTACAAATAAACTAGCTTTTTAAAGAAATTTTCGTGAATTTTTAGGTCATTCTGGGATCTTTTTTTTTTTTTTTTTTTTTATCTAAATCCATGAATGCTAAGTCTCGAAAAATATTTTTTCTACATAATGCTGAATATGTTTAAAAAATTAATGAACTTTCTAACAAGAAAAATCTGAAGTTCATGTTCAAAATTGCTACAAAATATTGTTGATTTATAAAAATTTTATAAATAAAATGATGACATTTAATTTAACACATAGGGCTGTCCCAGGTAACGCTAAAAAAGTGGTATACCCTGGAGAAAAAAGGTCCCCAAATTGATAAAAAAAAATTTTAACGTGAAAATGTTTATGTTAAAATTAAAGAGGGAAGACCAAGGTATTTTTTAATTATTTAAAATTTTTTTTTTTCATTTGCAGCATATTTTAAATTTAGGTTGAAAATCTTGTTTTTTTTTTAGGTCAAAAATTAGGTAATATTAGCATTACTTGTTTCTCACTGTTTTCAGTTGAAAAAAACACATTGATTTGGAAAATCTTGCAAAAATCAAGTACTTGTTGGATTTTAATGAAACCTTCAGAACTTATTCACAAATGAATTAAATTATTTTAGAAATGTTTGTCTTTTTGAAAGTCATGGTATAAATATTTTTTTTTATATATGTTACACCCCTCGAACTTCATTTTATGAAAACTTCAAAAATTTATTTTCTCAACCTGAATTCTTTTTTTTATTAAATGCACAAGACTCTGAAGATTCTAAATCATCGATTTTTTTGGTAAAAAAATGTGCAAAATTGTCCAAACTTTTACCTCAATTGTAAAAATACAAAACCCAATAAAACTAAGACAATATTTAATTAAAAAAGCTTTTTACGACTTTTCTGAATAACATATACTAAGGTAATTTTTATCTGAAAGAAAAAACTTTTTTTGATGAAAAATGAATTTTTACAATAATTTTTCTTTTTTTTTTTCTATTTTAAATACACAATGACAAAATGTTGTTATATATTTTAAAATTAAGTTTCTTTATTCAAACTTATGAAAATGACATATTATGTTCTCTACTTTTTAAAGATCATAAATTTGAAAGCTTATTAAAATCTGACAAACGTTGATATTTTTAAAATATTTTTTTAATATTGCAAAATTTTATTTAAAATCGTCTCCAGCGAAAGTATGGATGCACAGCTTTAAAATAATGTCACATGAGGTAGACTTGTTTCGCTTGATAGAAGCAAGTTTTTTTTACTTCAGAAATTTTTCCTCAAACGTAAGGTTAAAAAAATTTGAAAGTGAATTTTTTTTTTTTAAATTTACTAACCAGGTTCACTTAAAATTAGAACGAATTACATCACTTCTGCGCTACCGTACGAAAAATTCCCTTGACGTAAGTTGTCAATATTGACATGTACATCAATTAACACCTCTCAATTGCACACCTATACAAGCACCACGATTGAAAATATCTCTATTAAAAAATTGTCTGCTAAAAAAAGTAAGTAATGTTTCTTTCAAATTACATTAAGTATACTTTAATCATTCTAAATTTCCTAAGATAACAAAAGAAAAAGGTGTAACTGAATTTTACATGATTTTTTAACTAATTTTGATTTTTTTTACAAACTCAGGCAGAAATGCCCGTTAAGATCGAATTTACGAAATTTCTTTTGATTCGAGAAAAACAAGATTTTTAAATAAAATTTTTAACATTTATAGGAAGGATTAAAAAATCTGAAAAATATTCAAAAAATACTTTGGTCTACCCTCTTTAAATAAATAATTTCCTAATTCACTCAGCATATTAAAAAAGATTTTAAAAATCAGAGACAGAAGTTCAGAAGAAAAAAAGATCACGTCTTGTGCATAGAGACTCTTGACGAAAAATAAAAGTTAAATGATTCTACCCCCCCCCAAAAAAAAAACCCTGCAATGTTTTTTTTAACATAACATGAGCTCGGCTTTCCATATGTTCAATTAATTAATTAGCTATGCCAACGAGATAAAGTTTCAGTTTATTGTTTTATGGCAAATGAAAAATATGTATTGTAGTCTTTTTTTTATTATAAATCATAAATTAAAGTAGCAAACATACCAGAACTTGGAAAAGCACATATACAAATGTCGTCGTCTCGGACCTCGAAATTTGGCAGAATTGGAATACTTTTCCAAACACAACCCATTACCGGTATAGGAATACTGTCGTAGTTCCATACGTACATGAACTTGCCATCGCGATCGTGAAGTTTATCACCTTTCCATGCATTATTATCAGCAAAGTATTCTTTGACAACACAAAGGAATTCGTCGTCTAACATACCATACTGGTAATTTTTGCTCAACTCTTCTGCCATCCCAAACAAAAATAAGACGAACAAAGCAAATGTAAAACACCACTAGTTATTCGTTTGCTTTTACTGCACTTGCAATTTTAGACTGACCGAAAGCAGTTGACACAGTTTTTTTTTCAAGGATGTAGTATCAGTAGCAGCATGATTATTTTTTTAAATTTAGTAGTTTAGGATTACCATGTTTCATGTAATTCTTACTATTATGTCTCTCTCTTACCAGAGGATTACTATGTAATTCTTACTATTGTGTTTCTACCTCTTTCAGGTCTTGTTCATTGTCAGTAGACAATAAACGTTTACAGAACAAATAGATTCCATTCTTATTTATGAACAAGACTTCTCTGGAGAAAACATCAAGGTATAATCGCCATACCTGCAGTACAGTGCCCCTTCCCTAATTGCGACTACGTTCACACTACTGGTACTTGTAGTGAGGGCCGTGGCGGTTACGGTTTGTTGTGGGAATGGCGGTTACCACTTGTTGTTGATAGAAGTCAGACGTAGAAGAAACGCAAGGTTCAGATACTCCTGCCCGCCGAGCCCAACTACATAAAAAGGTTGGACTTTGATTAAGTCCAAAGAAGAAGGAAAAGAAAGCAAACAAAACGAGACCGATAATATATGTATATACAAATATATATTATTAACAAGTTACAATACATGGAAACAGTACAAAGGACGAAGTGTGTGTGAATATTCTGTATGTGCGTGCGTGTGTGAATATTCTGTATGTGCGTACGTGTGTATTGTGCTTTAGCGTGTTTCCACGCTATTCCTTGTTAGCGACTACATTTCGAGGTTGATAGTTGAAATCCTCTAGGAATAAGAGAAATTTACCTCGAGGTGTCAGTGCACAGGCCTGAAAGGGAAAAAGAGATCGAGGCGAAGGGTCATTGGCTATTTATAGCCAGGAAAGAGAGACCCCTGGTGAAAGGTTCACGAACTGAAGGAGGCGTTAACTCTGACATACTTCTGCTCAGACTACCCCTGTTGAGAAAGTCAAACGGCCAACTCTAACCGCCGCTGGTTCTAGGGAGGATTGGGCCTACTTTCAATCACGCTGGATCGACTACGTGGTAGCCACAAAGGTATCAGGGCGCGAAGTGGTGATCCAACTTCTCGAGTGCTGCGATGAACCACTACGCAGAGATCTCACTCGCACATCAGGTGGCAACCTTACAGACAAAACCATAGATGTAGTCATGTGTGCCATTCGGAAACTAGCTGTTCGCGAGGAAAACACAATGGTAGCAAGGGTAACACTGTACAACATGCGACAGGATCGAGGCAAACCGATGCGACACTTTGGTACCCGCCTACGGGGACAGGCATATATCTTCAGGTTCGTCATCACGTGCCCTAGTTGTAAGTATAACGTGAATTACACGATGCCATTGTGCGCGACGTATTAAGCTGAGGAATTGCCGATCCTGACATCCAATTAGACCTCTTAGGAGATAAAAGTCAGGATATGTCATTGGAGAAAATATTCCAGTTCATTGAAGCGAAAGAAGCTGGGAAAAGATCAGCCTCAAGACTACTAAACACTTATTCAGTGGAGGCAGCACGTTCATCTTATCAGAGAACCAAGCACCTAGTGGATGAGGATAAACAGGGCCCATGCTCGTCATGTGGCAAGCGCGGCCATGGCATGAAAAGCGCCACACGCATCTGCAGAAACCAGTGCACAGCCTTTGGTCACAAATGTGAGCGCTGCCACCGAGACAACCACTTTGGAACCATGTGCTGTAGTAAAGACACGCCTAATGACAGAAGACCATCACAGACGGGGCGATTCAATAAAGGAAATGCCGTTTTTAATTCTTTGTGTAACGCAAAAGACGGCTCATCCGACGATAAGGTTTGCAATATAAATAGCAACCATCATGGTCGACAACAAGTCAGCATACCATTAGACCAACACTTGGATCAAGCTAAACTCAAAACCTTAGCCATTTATCAATCTGACAGTAGAGGCTCTTTCCGGAGATCACAAAACCCTAGGCATCGAACTATTGGCACGTTCTACAGCCGTTAGTGTGCCGGTCATGGCCGACACCGGTTGCCAAAGCTGCCTGGCTGGCCTAAAAGTGATCCACCGTCTTGGTTTACGCGAGTCTGATCTGATACCAGAGACGATGCATATACACACGGCAACAAATAGCAGTATCGGAATCTTAGGAGCCATCCTATTACGCCTGTCTAGCAGAGATCCACGTGGGCAACTGACTGAAACGAGACAAATGATGTATATTACACCCTCGTCAGATAAACTATTCTTGAGTAGGGAAGCCTGCATAGATCTTGGCATTATAACAAATGACTTCCCTACCCTGCATGGTTATGTACAATTATAGTGCCGCCAGCATAGATGGGACAGATAAATCATCATGTGGATGCCTAGTACACCGACCGCCGCCACCAGCGCCAACCACACTGCCATTTGCAGCAACAGACGAGAACCGTGAAAAGTTGCAGCAGTTCCTCCTCGATTTTTATGGTGCCAGCACATTCAACACGTGTGAACACCAAACACTACCCATGATGGACTGTTCACCTCTGAAGCTGATGGTGAACCCAGACGCCGAACCAGTAGCGCATCACACACCTGTGCCGGTTCCAATACATTGGCAGGATGACGTCAAAAAGGGACTTGATCGCGATGTGAAATTGGGTGTCATTGAGCCTGTGTCCATTGGCGAACGCGTCACCTGGTGTCATAGGATGGTGATCTGCGCAAAGAAAAACGACCAACCCAGACGCACCGTCGATCTGCAAGCTTTGAATACCCATGTGTCTCGTGAAACGCACCACACACCATCGCCATTCCTCCAGGCACGGTCAGTACCCCCTGGTAAAAAGAAAACTGTCCTTGATGCTTGGAATGGTTATCATAGCGTACCTCTATGTGAGGAGGATCGCCATCTCACTACATTTATTACCCCTTGGGGTCGGTATCGCTACAGGACGGCACCACAAGGCTATATTGCGCCCGGCGACGGATACACACGGCGATACGATGAGATTGTCGCAGACATACCAAACAAGACGAAGAGTGTGTTGATGATGCCCTACTGTGGGCCGACAATCTGGAAGATAGTTTTTTTCAGACCGTAAATTGGCTGGATATCTGTGGGAGAAATGGCATTACGCTGAACCCAGATAAGTTTATATTCGGAGCGGATATTGTTGAATTCGCTGGATTCGAAAATAAAAATAAATATGTCCGTCCATGTAGGAAGTTTAGACTTCCCGACACCGAAAAACATCACGGATGTGCGTTCATGGTTTGGCCTAGTTAATCAAGTTTCCTACGCATTCATCATGGCGGACCGGATACTCCCCTTCCGGGAGCTACTCAAACCTGACATCCAATTCAAGTGGAACGAGGATCTAAAGGCTCTCTTTCAGGAGTTCAAAGCGGCAATCACTGCTGAAATTGAGCATGGTGTCCGCATCTTTGATCCAAATAAACCAACCTACCTGGCGACTGATTGGTCAAAGTTTGGCATTGGATTCTGGGTCTTACAGAAACAATGTTGCTGCACTAAAAACGAGCCTTTCTGTTGTCGCTTTGGTTGGAAAGTCACACTAGTTGGTAGCCGGTTCACGCACGCAGCAGAATCACGGTACGTGCCAATAGAAGGTGAAGCCCTTGCCGTCACTGATGCCTTAGACAAGGTTAGATACTTCGTCCTAGGCTGCTCAGACATCATAATTGCGGTCGACCATAAACCACTACTAAGAGTATTCCTCGACCGATCACTTGAGGATATCTCAAACACGCGCTTACGAAATCTCAAAAAGAAGACATTACGATACAAATATAAAATGGTACATATCCCCGGAGTGAAACATCGTGCCACTGACTGCCTATCACGCTATCCGACAGGCGAACCTGTAGTCTCATTTTGACGGATGACCTGGCATCGATTGCCTCGAACCATGACGCTTTCCGACACCCGACCCAATCACTGCCTGACCTTAGGGTGTACGACATCACTGACAGTGATATCGAGGAGTATGTGATTGCAGCCGCTACCACATCACTAAATGCATTAAACCTTAAGTCAGTCACATGGGACAGAGTAAGCACCGCCACTGCCAGCGACGAAGATATGCTAGTATTGACTGAGCTCATAGAATCTGGCATGCCAGAATTCCGGCATGAAATGCCAAACTCCATTCGCGAGTATTTTCAGTTCCGCGATGATCTGTCTACTATAGACGGCCTCATAGTTTATAAGGACCGCATCGTTATCGCACCATCCCTGCGAGACGAGGTGCTCTGCGCCTTGCATTCAGCTCATCAAGGAGTAACCTCTATGATCGCTAGGGCCGAATCATCTGTATTCTGGGCAGGTATAACGCCTGCTATTGCAGCACTCCGTGCTAGCTGCCTGTAATGCAATCGCAACGCACCATCTAATCCTAGCAATCCACCAGTCCCTCCAACGAGCCCGGAATACCCTTTCCAGTGTCTCTGTGCTGATTTTTTCACATACAAAGGAAACCACTACTTAGTTATCGTAGGTCGTTATTCCAACTGGCCAATAGTTGAAAGGTCCTCAGATGGGGCTCTCGGACTCATCTCCTACTTCAGACGTACTTTTGTAACTTATGGCATACCTGTTGAGCTGGCCTCTGACGGAGGGCCCGAGTTTACTGCTACCATTACTCAACAGTTTCTAGCTGATTAGGGTGTTCACCATAGGTTATCCTCAGTAGCATTCCCTCACAGCAACTGCAGAGCAAAGCTCGGCGTTAAGGCAGTAAAGCGCCTTCTTATGGACAATACAGGTCCCTCCGGAACCATTGACACGGACTCATTCCAACGTGCAATGCTGCTGTATAGGAACACACCGGATAGAGACACAAAGTTATCTCCGGTGATGTGCATCTTTGGTCGTCCTATTCGAGACTTCATACCCATAATTCCGGGAAATTATAGACCTCATGAAACGTGGCACAGCACATGGAAGGCACGTGATGAGGCCCTGCGGAACCGCCACATGAGATGTGCTGAGAGATTATCGGAGCATACCAAACGGCTGCCACCACTAGTCGTCGGTGATTATGTGCGGATTCAAAACCAAGTTGGACCGTATGCACGCAAATGGGATAAAACTGGGATAGTCATCGAAGTTCGACAGTTCGACCAATACGTGATAACCGTTGACGGATCGAGAAGAGTGACACTCTGGAATAGAAAATTCTTACGGAAGTATGTCCCAGTGCAACTCCCTCCCTCAAAGCTGACAATCGATAATGACATTCGTATACGTAATGCGGCTCCTACTTTGACACCGACAATTGTCTCGAATGACGTCACAACAACATCACCACAACTCACAGAACCCAAGAACCCCATCGCTTCTGACCCTCCTGCCCAACCGGTGATCTCACCAAAAGTATCACAAACGCCGCGGAACGCGCCAACAGTGCTAGAAACCGCTCCACCTGACAGAGAAAAGCCGACCTTTGATAGAGACTTGAGTTTTTATACCACTGTACCGCCGTCCCGAGCATCAATGTCCAATCTCTCTAGTCTAGAGACAACCCCATCCTCCCCACGTATGTTGAACACGCCAAGAAGATCAGGCCGCGCTAAACACGCACCGAAGTGGTTCAAAGACTATATTATGACAGTTCAGACTTCATCTGACTTCTGATTCGGTGTCCCTGCATATATACCATATTCTCTGTTCACGTTGTATTCTCTGACAATTGGACTCTACCATAACCTCCGATATAAACGTCTATGATATTCCGCCTCTCCCTTATTTAGTCTCCTTAACCTAACATCTAATGTTTGTGAACCTTTCGAAGTATCAGTCTTTGAGCATGTCCTACTTGACGCTTACATTGACATACACGCAAAGACTTGGGGGGAGATATAGGATTACCATATTTCATGTAATTCTTACTATTATGTCTCTCTCTTACCAGAGGATTACTATGTTTGATGTAATTCTTATTATTGTTTTTCTACCTCTTTCAGGTCTTGTTCATTGTCAGTAGACAATAAACGTTTACAGAACAAATAGATTCCATTCTTATTTATAGTTTGTGATTTTAATCTGGATCTGAGGTTGTGTATGGGTTCCTGTGATTAATTGGCTTCACGAAATCCGTGAATCGATTTCGAATTCCGGTTGAGGCTATTTGTATTTTTTCGGACTGATCTCTTTTCGGGAAAGGCATGAATTGACTTTCCCTTCTATTCTCTCATCGTCAAGCAAAAAAAAAAAAAAAAAAAAAAAAATAACGGGGTACAGAGGCTCATAAATCAGCTTTAAAGGCACTAATTTCGATCGATAGAACCTATCTGCCCGGCAAAATTAAGGTGTGGTGCTATCATCATGGTCTACTACCCTGCCTTTTGTGGCCTCTGCAAATGTATGAAATTGCATTATCTCATATTGAGCGCATTGAGCAAGTGATCAATAAGTACTTGCGTAAGTGGCTTGGAGTTCCTCCTTGTTTTTCGAAAGTGGGGCTATATACCAACACCGGACATTTGCAGCTCCCTATGCACTCATTGGTGGAGGAATTCAAGGTTGGGAAGGTATGCCTTCATATGACGATGAGGGACTCAGCTGATGATTGCATACGAAGGGTGCATCCAGAGATTAAATCTGGTACAAAGTGGTCAGCCGCAGATGCCACTCAAGAAGCGGAAACCAGCCAGCGAGTCAGAGATATCATGGGCGTGATTCAGAATAATCGGGCTGGATTGGGAAACACGACACACAAATACTTCTCCAAGGAGAATGCAAAGGGAAAAAGGCGTATGGTAGTTGAAGAAATCAAAATGTTCGAAGAGGAGCATAGAATAGCCACTGCTGTCACTCAAGCTAAACAATGTAAGTCGACAACCTAGAATGATATCGAACCCATTATACTTTCATGGAATTCATTAATTGCGATGGAGCCATTGGCGATATCTTTCATTCTTCGATCTACATACGATCTTCTCCCAAATGAAACAAACTTTAAAATGTGAGGATACACAGATACAGATCTCTGTTTTTCGTGTAAAAAAGACCGAGGTACCTCGTGTCATGTACTTTCTGCTTGTCCACGATCGCTCCAGTTGTACACGTGGCGACACAACAACGTATTAGAGGTGATAATGGATCTAATAAGAACACAATGTGAGACAGCAAATCAATAGCTTGTGGCAACCAAGGAAAGTAAGATCGAATTCCATAAGGAAGGGGAATGCTCTGCAAAGAAAAAAACAAACAATCCCCAATATAAAGCTGCTGAGTGTTGCCAGTGATTGGACAGTTTCAAAGGATCTAATGACATCCTTAAAATTTCTAAAACACATCGCACAGACAGACAAGCGTCCCGACATTTTGTTGCGGTTCGACCCAAAAAAGACTGTCTTCCTAATAGAGTTAACAGTCCCTAGGGAAGAGAACAGGGTGGAGGCGCACGAACTAAAGAAAAACCGTTACGAGTCACTGCGTGCCGAATGTGTGGAAAATGGTTGGGCGTATAACGTGATGCCTATTGAGATTGGGTGTCGTGGGTTTCTGGGACATTCGGTCATTTCCTTCCTTTCAAAAATAGGCATCACTGGCCGTTGCTTGAAAAGCGTTTCGCATCGCATTCAAAAAACTGTTCAACACGCGTCAAGGCGGATTTGGTCGAGATCAAAACAAGCAAATAAAATGCGCGAAACATCACGACCTAACATGCGCAAATGAAATATTTTGCGTGGTCGTCTATAACGATTTTTACGAGCGCTTCAATAACGCGTTCAGGACACTTTCATTACGGATAGACTGTGAACGGTGTGGCCTTGGTCTGGAAGAAACGGCTTCGCACGCCTTCTACCATTGTCCCCATGTCCGCCTCTTATGGGACAATGTCAGCGAGGTGACGGCTCGTCTCGCTCCCGAAAAACTTGTGCTCATTGATTGCGCATATGCGCGTGACAATGTATCGCCCCCGTATGCTGAGGAGAAACAGATGGTGTTTCTTACGCTGCTGGCCACGGCCCGAATGGTAATTTGGACGACGTGACAGGAGGCAATCGTCTTTCTCATCAGGATTTAATCCGATTCTTTGAGCATCAGCTCAAGATGAAGATTAGAACTGATAGAAAACGCTTGCATTCGACAGTCTTCAGCGAAATGTGGGTGACTGAGGCGAGCTTGGTTCGCTTGAACGGGGCTAGCCTTGATTTTCTCTTTTAGGTCAACCTACCTCACATGGGGTGGTTTCCTGCGGAGCCCTCCCCTTGGTTAGGTTAGACAAGCTTTAGTGTACCTAGTTAATGTGAGTAAGTGTTGTTCCTGGCCTGTTCCCGGCTGCCTCTTTGGTTATGATTCAAGTCGAGATTCCCCCTCCCCCAGTTTGTTTTGGCCCGCCCTTTTTCATCTCGACTGGGTCAGCTTTATATTTTCCCATGCCCGTATTATTTTTTATCCTTTTCCCACACCCGTAGTGAGAGAGCTTCTTGATTTTCCCACATGGGCAGAATACAGCGGCCTCTCCTTTTTTTTAGGGTCGGACGAGCTCTATTAACATCAGTTATGTTTAATTTGATTTGTGTTAATATTTCAGTTTGTTACTGGGTTCATCTGCTCCCACTCTAATTTTTTCATCACATATATTATATATATTTTATTATCATTAAATTTTTATGGCATGGGGCGCGTTTTGTAGGTCCCCCTAGAGAGGATGTGGTATTATGGTGCATGGAGGATTGATTGGTGATGGACGAGTTCTTGTAGTGAATGGGTAAATTGTAATGAGTGAATGGGTCGTGAATCAGATTAGCTAGGTATAAGATAGTGTGAACCAGCCTTAACCCTCCCCTTTTTCGGCCTTGTGCCACAATTTTTTTACATAATAAATATCTACAAGCTGCAAAGAACAAATGTTTTATTTATTTCATTACAAGAATTTACAAAGAGGAACGATAAATTAGCTTATTTTGATACCCTGCCTGTTGGCAAACGCTGCTGGTGGCGCCAGGGTTGGCGGTCCCGCCATAGCCACCGAAACCGTGATATCACCCCTGGTCGGCGTCTGATGAAGACAGGGTATCGCACGTGCTAACACACGTTGTATGTTTATATATATATATATATATATATATATATATATATATATATATAGTTTTTTACTTGCATGCGACAAAAATCGAGGAAAGTGGATGTGTGAAAACAGTGATAGTGAAACACTTACAAACCATTCTCCCGTAACTATCTGACCAGGCTGGATCAGTAAAAAGTTAGCATTGTCAAGGACAGGGAATCTGATAATATTATTCAATATTCAGTGTTGTGTTTATTTAGTTTTAATAATAAATAATATAACTTATTAATTTTGTCGATTTTAGATTTATTTGAACGGTCTCAAGAGGAAGCCTTGTTGCCAGACTCATCTGAGCTCATCTTGTGCCAGACTCATCAGTTTCTAGTTCCACTCAAAACAAGAGAAAAGTTTATCTTCAAGTCTGTGCATAATGTTTATAAAAGTTGTCTGATAATTGTTATAAAACAAAACAATTACAGTTGATCACTGATGACAATTCCAGAACAACGTGACAATAAACAATTTTTTCTAACCTCTGCCAGCCGCAATGATAGAGAAAGCATTACCTCGAACCATCGCCAGTGAGACACGCTGCAAGAGCCACTCCGTTTCGCGAGGCTCGTCCCTTAATCGAGACGCAATCGCGCCAATCCTCCGAAGGAACGCCATCGAACGAGAGTCTACACTGCCACAGGAGTAAAAAAAATCTATCAGCAAGAGAAGAATATTTAACTATTTTTTTCATCTCTGCGTCCCGGGCGACGGATCCTGGCTTAACCGCAGAACTGATCAAATTACCGACCGAAAATGTATCCGCACAGGTCGCATCCTAAATCAATGACTTCCCCATTTTAAAAGGGAAAATGGTAATGCCATTCGGATAACAATTATCAGACAACTTTTACAAACATTATGAAAACCTTTTATAAATATTAATTATGAAATAACCTTTAGAACCATGTTACTAAATGCAAATGAAAGATTTTTGCTTTACAGATTTATTAAATCTAAAAATAAATCAAATTAGTCTATGCATGATTGAAATATCTGTTTGACTGGTACCGTTGCTTGAAATGAGCACCAAGGATACTTTTTTAAATTTGCTACCTTTGTTAAAGACTTTTGGGGTTTTAGAATACTTTTCTTTTAAGCTTAAACTTTAAATCCATTGTAATAAATAGACTTCGGCTAATGAAATAATTTATCATTACTATACATAATTTATTTGATTCCCTAACTAAAGTATTTATCAGTAAGCTTGTGTCACGTTCTTTTCGAACGTGACATAAGCCCGAATAGAAAATAGAGGAAAAGCAAAACGAAGACTAACTGTCCTTCCCCACTTCCTGCAGATGAAAAAGAGACCATTAAGGTATCTGCGCAGATGTCAGATAAACTAAAAACATATGGTCACCGAAATAACATTTAAATTCCGATTTGAACGAAAAGAAAAGCCAAGAAGAAGAAACATTTGGTTTGATTCAGCCATCCAGAAGAGTAGTGTCCTCACAGATATAGAGGCCAGACATATCTCGTTCGTTTATAATAATTTCTATGACATTCGTCAAGAAAGATTTTATATCCAAACATTAATCCGGATGCCTTTGGATGCAAG